AAAAGCCTTCCCAATGTATAAATTTCTATGATGATTATTGCGTTTGTCATCGAATTTTCCGTAGGTTGTTTTGCTTTTGGATAGTAAGTGCAAGTAAGTTGCTTCTAACGGGTGTTCAATAAAAAATGAGAATGATTTCAATACCGTTCTGTAATTAAAATAAAGAGCGTAAATTTTTTTCTCTCCAAGAGAATTGCTCTCTGGACTCCCTAAAAATGGGTGGCATGTTTTTTTCGCTCGGGTGCTGTCAGTTCAATCGAAGATGGCGTCGAAACAGCAAGCACTCCACGACCGTCTTGTACGGTTTTACGAAACGCATGGTCATCGTGGAAAAAACTTTACGGTAGACCACTTTCGAGACGAAAACGTGCCCGTGAGTACAGTTTACTGGATCCTGGAGCGGAAGTCCGGTAGCGGCCGTCCAGCAAAAATAATGACGAAGAAGAAGAAGGAAGCGTTGAAAAAGCTGTTCGACAACAAGGACGGAACGAGTTTGCGTGACGCCGGCCGAAAATATCACTGCTCTCATATCTTGATTCACCGAACCCTCGAGATGGAGGGCATCATCTGTCGGAAGAAGACTCGGTCCCCCGAGAACACGGACGAGGCGATAGCGACCGTGAAATTGCAGTGCCTGTGGATGACGAAGAACTACCGCGGGACGTCGTTCGTGCTGGACGACGAAAGTTACTTTCCGCTCTCGAAGGCCCACATTCCAGGAAAAAACAGCTACTATTCCAGGGACAAGTCGGCCACACCTCCCGAAGTAAAATATAAGTTTAAGGATAAATTTGAAAAAAAAAGTTATGCTGTACATCGTCATATCGGACAGAAGGATTTCAAAGCCGTGGCTCAAGCCGAGCGGTCTGGCCATCAATCAACAAGTGTACCAGGAGGAGTGTCTTGAGAAAATTCTTCTTTCTTAAAGGAGTATCATCCGGATGAGAAGTACGTCTTCTGGCCGGGCAAGGCGTCTTCTCATTACGCCAAGAAGACGCTGGAGTATCTTGAGCAGAAAAAGATACCGTACGGGCCGAAAGAAAGGAACCCGACAAACTTGCCCTAGTGCCGTCCCGTTGAGGATTTTTTCGGCTCCCTCAGTGCCCTAGTGTACAAAAATAATTGGGGGCCAAGGATACGAAGCAGTTGACCACGAGGATCCGGAATTGTATCCGGAAGATGGACGTCAGTGCCGTCCAGCGCTCTTGTGAGAGCATCGCGACTAAGTTGCGTTGTACGGCTGACCAGGGCCTGACTTTTTTTAAGAATAAACATTATGTTTTAAATAAAAAAATACTGAATTCGTTGAATAAAATTTTTATTTTACTAGCTATATGACTGAAAAAAATTTCATTTTTTATTGAACACCCGTTACATTTTAAATTTACACATTTAATGGCGCCACAACCAGATCCAAACACCAGTGTTTTTCTCTTCGAAAGGAGCAGTGATCAGTGGAGAGTGAACAATGAAATAGACCGGAACCTTCACGGAGGAAGATGTTGAACATCATTTTGGAAGGTCTATATCCACTGGAAGAACTTGTGGAACACTGGAAGGTGCAGCTCCAAACCAACTGCTGGATACGAAACGGATCCGGAAGAAACAAATAGCAAGCTAAAACGAACACCGAGATCAGCCGGAGAATAAAAATATAGTGAGACTTTTAAATTGGTTACCTTAGATTTTTTTTTGAGTGTACAACATAGGTACACACTGACACACAATGAAAGGTGTGTTCCGTATGTGTAAAAAAGGACAATATACATGAAATTAATTCAACATAGTCTACATTTGTACGTTCATTTACGTTCAAGAGCCCTGTGATAAACGGTACCGGTGGTGTAGTGGTAAGCGTGATTACCTCTCACCCCAGCAGGCCTGGGTTGATCCCCAGTTCATGAGTTGATGGGTCGATAGGTAGGGTCCAGGTGTGGGAGCTACCCCCTGGCGTCGGTAGCATTGGTGCTCAGATCGGAAAACAAGATCGACGGAAAACAAATCAAGGAAAAAAAAGAGCCCTGTGATAAATCAGTTCACCTGGTGACTTCTGTGTTATGTTCCGCTTTGGGTTTGTTTTCGATTGCATTAATTTTTAGTTCACTTTCGTCTAATTGCGTTTGAATTCATCCTAATGATTTGCTCTCATGCTACAATAGCTAGGTCAGGCAACCTTATAAAAACACGACCAGTGGTCTCTCAAACCCGAGAGTGGCGCTTAAGTCACTTCGTCTGCAGCATTTCTCTGAGAACTTTCCACGAACGATTACAAACTTCGATAGAACGTAACTCAATTCGGCCAATTTCACGAAAATTAAATCTTAAAATATTGAATTAATTTCTAAACTATAAGTTTTACAGCCAAGGTCTATTCATACGAAAGATGTTTCCAATTGACACTTAAACTTTACCGATACAAGTTTTCGAGCCCAGCCGCCCAAGCTATATGGCCTTGCTTTATATAGCTGCGTCTTTATCAACCGAGCTAAAGTAGTTCCCAATGATTTTCCTACAATGCTCAATTAATTCGCTTCAACTTCTTGTTTGATACAATTTCAATACAATTGACGAATTTTTTTCTTTAATATGTGTATGTGATGCGTGTGGGCGTGGTTAACCTTGAGTAGAAATTTTTTTTTTTTTTTTTTTTTCTTTATTTAAGAGATTTTTAGCCTTAGGCTAGTTCATCTCTACTTGAGTAGAAATGGTTTCTTAGCATGTGGCTAATACATCATCTTCTATTATTCCAGTTTCATCCAAATAGGAGAGGGATATGTTTTGTCGTTTGCTCATTTCGGCATTATTTAAATGATGAGCCATCGATCCAAATTCATAAACGTTCTACAGGAGATATAATGCAACGTTATCTAAGTGCTGCGAAAATCGTTACAGGATGATGCTATGGAAGCTAGTTGCAAGTTTACTTACTAAATCCGGTATGTATTGCAAAATTTGTTTATATACCTAAGATGATAAAGAATGATGCAAAACAACAAGCAAAGCAGAAGCTTTGTAGGAAGGAACATTTTTTTAATTTCAAAATTAGAATAGCACTGGGGTCCATTTGTTCTGATGTAGAAACACGCCGGGTACAGAACTGTCAAACTTCAAAGCTTTTTCTCGCTTTGCCAGTTGTATCCCTATTAGGCCGGGCGCCCACTGATGGGGTGGAGGTGTGACATCTGCTAGTAGGTCAAAACATAATTTCAACGAAAGCAACGGCGGCGCTATTCTTCCAGTTTGTTTAATTAGTTCTACTCTGGCGACGCACAATTATTGCTGTCACATTGAATACCTACCTGCGTTGATTTCCTTCTGCCACCCAACACCCACTCGAGAAAAAACAACAAACGGCACTCAGCCACGATCGAGAGTGACGAGCGCTCGCGGAAAAGCAACAAACCTGAGTGACGAAACACGATATCGGGGGAGACAGACAGTGAGAGAAAAAGTCTAGCAACGTGCGGGGCAATAATGAGAGCGAGAGAGAGCAAGAATTGTCGAGCTTTCCAATCAGCACACGATGCGGCGTCGAATCGGTCGCGAGAATACGAGAGAGAGAGAGAGAGAGAGAACTTGCTATGCCGCTCGGGACGAAAGGGAGGCTCTAAAAGAGTTATTACCGACCGATCTCACTTTGGGGCCATACTAGTTTAGAGGCAAAAGCAAGCAGCGCTCTTCCGACCGTGGGGCTTGGCAGCGTGTGTTGTTTTGTAATAATTTAAATTTTGCCATTCTAGATCACCAATTGTCGGGAACCGGTACGCGCGCGCTCGTTCGCCCGTTCGTCCGCGTTGTTCGTAAATAGTCAATCTTGTCGAAAGCTGTTTCTACTACTGGAAAACTAAAAATCACACGTGTTTAGAAAGACTTGTTTGAAAACGATCGAAGAGCGTGGGTTTAGTTCCCGTTCTCGTCAAGTCGCACGCGGAAGTGTTTTCCCCGTACCAATAAATATTCGCGCGTTGTGTTGACGGCGACGTCGGTCGTAGTAGGTCGAATTGCGATTATGTCATAAACAGAGGGGTCGACGAAGACGACGACGACGACGGAGATCATAATAACAACAGGTTGAGCATGCAGTTCGTTGGAAATTTTTGACAGTTGTCACGGTTCTGTGAAGGGATTTGCGTGTTTCTGCGGGAAATTATTGGTGGAAACGACAGTTGAAAACTTGTTTCAAATGAGTGCGGGTGAGTGCGTAAATTTCAAGAAGTGAAGTACAAACTCGGTGTCGAATCGTGAAAAACCGTCGAAGAATTCCCTCCCGGGCGCTGCGAGAAAGAAAAAGGAAAACACAGCAGCAGGAAGTGAAAATAGATTTTCCCATGTGTGTGGTTGGCAGCCGGTCGAGCTGTTGTGTCGGTTAGTTCGGAGGTCGCTTTCGGTCGGTCGATGAGTATTGTTTGTTTTCCAATCCCTACTGCTAGCCGCGGTTCAAGTTTGGGTTTTGTGTATTTTTATTTTCCCCTGCTTTTGGATGCTCGTTTGCGTGTTCCGCCGGCCGCGTGGTTGAAGCGATCCTCCCGCTCTTTTCGTCGGGCAAGGGTATTGTTTAAATTTCAATTTAAAACCAACACGATAAGCGCGTCCGTCCGGTGGATTATCCCCGTGAAGTTGACCATTTAGTTAAAAGTGGAAGCAAGAGAAAGAAGAGGAGGAGGAGCATTACCAAAATCAACAACTATTACCTTTTCGAGGGCTTTGACGGGCTCCACTACCGCGGCCGCAGTCCGGAACTAATGTGTGGATGATCTCTCTCTGCGGAAAGGTGTTCGTCTTAAAAAGGTTTAAATAGGTGCGAGGCGTGCCCTATCTCGACCGCATCGGTCCGAAAGTAGAAAAACGATAAGCCTTAATTGAAATTGTTTGTTACTAAAATCTCGGCCCCACGATAAAAGGTGCGAAGAAAGAAATCAAAGAGGTGTGTTTTCTGCCTGTACGCGAAAGAAAGTATTTATACGCAAAATAAGAAGAGTGCGAGAATCAGCAGTGTGATCGCGTCGGTTTTCGGCTTTTGTTTTTTCCTCAACCGGAAGTGTTCCAAAAGCCGTCAAAATTGAAAAAGGAAACTATCCCTTTTTGAGCCCCCTCGCTTATCCCTCGGGCCCTAGCGGCAGCGTCGGCGGCGTTGGTCAGAGTGGTTCAACCGGCGGCGGCGGTCATAGTGCTAGCGTATCGGCAGTGGCCGCGGCAGTAGCGGCGGCAGCTGCATCGTCCACCGGTGGCAGTGCGAATCTCAGCGCCGGCACCAATTCGATCGCGGTGCATCATCACGCGGCAGCGGCGGCGGCAGCAGCAGCTGCGGCACACCATCCGCACTTCCCATCGCTGGCAGCGGCGGCGGCCGCGGTCAATACCGTCGGCGGCGGCACCAGCGATCACCATCATCATCATCATCCACACCCGCACGCCACCGGAATACCAATCAGGATGGACTGCGACTACTCGAAGCTGTTCTATGCGAAACGTAAGTGTTGTGTGCGTTGTTTGGGATCTCTTTTTACCCTTCTTACCAAGAAGGGTATACTTACCGCTAGGAAAATCGACTTTCGATCCGAGGACCGGAGGGCCGAGTGTCGCATACCAATCGACTCAGCTCGACGAGATCGGAAAATTACTGTGTGTTTCTCGGCAACCACTGAACAATTGGCAAATGGATATGGCCGGAATATGTTTCGGTTTGTTTGGGTCATGAGATTGAATCCAACCTGAAACGAGTAAAACTTATCATGTGACACATCAAATTACATGAGAATTAAAAAAACCATTTCAATTGTAGTAATTTGGAGTGCCCAGGACCACATTGACCACATCTGGCTATGTTCCGAGTACCTCCGAGGAAGTGGTCAGTTTCTATCTAGAGGAAACATCCAACATGCGATTGAGGATTCATCATATAGCACTTGTCGTAATTTCTATTAGTAAGAAGGGTCAGATCTCACTATAGGTGGATTAATTCAGATTTTTTTCGGAAATGACCATTCCCGATCCGTGATACTTAGTAGTCAACGAACTTTGTAGGATGTGTTGAAGAAATTACTGTCGGAGATATGCAAATGCCAAACCGGCTGTGGCGTTTGCATTGAATTATAATGCTATTTGTTTAGCAGGAATTTGGAGAAGTCGTTGCAATATGGAGTTTGAACCAACTGTTGTCAGAATTCATAGTGACCGAGAAGTGGAGTTTCAGTTTGATTAAATTGCAAATATTATGTCAACGATAACGATAAACGATAGCTGACTCATATTCCAATTCTGGAAAAATCCTAAGCCAAACTTGTTAGTTGGGTGCCCAAAATGAAATTAGTCACGAAACTCAACAAACGTACCTCACATAGTTGAAAGGGAAATAACTATTCTACCTGTGCGCTTCCAGTTTAAAATGCTGATTCTATTTTTCAGTAGACAATGTTTCGGTTTCTGTCGCGGTGGTTTGTCATCCAAGCTCTTGAGAAAGTTTGCAAAAGTCTAAAGCTATTAATTTGATTGTGTCTCACCAACAGCAGACGAATTGAATGGAATGTGAACCACGTAAACGGTAAATTTGGTTAAGCTATTTAAAGGAGAATATAAAAAGGAAAATAGTTTCATCCACTTGGTTGCAATTTTATAATGCGGAAAATTGTAAGCCACATTAGAAATAGGCACCTTAGGATAAAAACACTATGAAGAGAAAGAGCTACCGTGTTCCGTTTAATTCAACTACAATTTTATCGCTTATCGACAGATATACGTCTATATCGTCTACAAAACAACTGGGAATAATTTGGGAACGATCGTTTGTAACTCGGCACATCCACATTGTGTTTGAAATTCGTATGGAAATTAGTATGGGAAAACCTACTTTTTCCTTTTTTCATCCTTAGAGACCACCATTTTGATTAAACTATGTAACTAACCATGTACAATAATGGTCCAGGTAGTGACTAACAACTTTTCCAAGGGAAATACGTTGCTAGAATATCTCTAAAAAATATATAACTGTTAAAATATTTATGGTTTGAATTAAATGCCAAAAATTCCTTTTTGTATTTGTATTTATATTATAAAATCACCTGACATCGTGGTCCTAATGAATTAAAAATTAACTGAAAAACTATTACACACTGCACAAAATACAATCATTCTGTCGACTCCGTAGTCGGTTTCGAAAAGCGTCAGTAGAAATGTTGAAGTTAAACAAACTATAATTATCGTGGAGTCTTCAACTTAGCGCATCGATAAGATTGTTAGATCAGCTGTTTTCATAGCAGCACTCGTTGAGGGGCGTAGATGTTGAGCTGACTCAGTAATGTAGGGCTGTCTACTTCGGAACGTAACATCTTGGCGCCAAAGATGGCTTGGTTGGACTTGCGTCTAACCACTAGCGGTTCAATACCAAGCAGTGCACAGCGATGTTCGTAAGGAGGTTGCTGTAATTGACCTGACCATGGTAAGCTACACAGCATCATATGTTGTCCATACGGCAGAAACAAATTCAAGAATAGATCTAACTAACGAGCAATACAGTGATCGTAGGCAGAGAGGTTGATGACCCTCACTAGCTATCTTGAATATAAATCCTCAGCTTCTTCAATGCATCCTCCACCATCGTCTGGCTAACGTTAAAAAATGTCCATGTCAAAAACATCCAACGGCAGGGACCTTGTTGGAGCTTCGACATCCAATGGAGATGGGGTTGATGTCTGGAACACATTTGCAAAACGTGTAGCTTTGTGATCTCATTGTTTCACGTTGAGAAGCGTTTCAGCATCTTGGATCGAATACGTCGAAGGTACAGTAAACGAGAGTTAGACCGAGCAGGTTTCTTCCGAGGTGTTGACAACGGAACACAGTGTGTGAAGCAATCGCGTAGTATTCCTTCGAAGCAGCTAACAGCATCATCTACGTTCCTACATCGACAAACAGTGTACCAATCCACTTGCGAAAGCATAGAGTTGAGTGCGTCGTAATCAACTTTACTAAAGTCATGTTCGTCAATGTCTTCAACGAATGGAGTTATCGTTGAAGAATACACCGTGAAAACGAGTGCTGGATGATGATCGTCAGTATCGACAACTGTGATGAAATCATTCGAGAATATTAAATCAAGTGGTCTGTCCAAGTGATTACGTATCACATTCCGCTTGAGAAGCTTGAGGAAATTTCGATTCTAGAGGGTCGGCAAATGCATAAACGTTGTTTTCTGATTTCCAAACAATTCGAAGCTGGTTGCAGTCTCCGAATAGGATGAACCCATCATTGATATTCGTCATGCGATTTATTTCGGAAACAACGTCTACGTGAGATTGGATGCATTCGCAATCAGCCGATTTTTCTGGCGGTATGTATGACACACTAACAAAGATTGACTCTGATTCGCATAAAATCTTTACTCAGATATTCTCCACGCTCGTACCCGAAGAGGTCTGCACTTACTTGATACTTGATGGGCTACGGACTCGGTCCTGAGCCAATCGCTTCCAGTCGCCATGGACGTTTAGCGACCTGATGTCCTCCTCAACTGCAAATAGCCAACGTGTCCGAGGTCTACCCCGGAGTCGACGACCTCTACCGGGTTCTCTGCTGAATATAATATTTGCTTGTCGTTCTTCCGGCATCCGCACTACATGCCCAGCCCACGGTAGTCTGCCGTGTTTTATAAGCTTCACTATATCCGTACCGTTATACACTTGGTACAACTCGTGATTCATGCGACGCCGCCAGATGCCATTCTCCTGTTTACCGCCGAGTATTGTTCGCAGCACCTTACGCTCGAAGACACCGAATCAGACTCTTTTAACGTCCACGATTCGTGGCCGTAGAGGGCTACCGGAAGTATCAGCGTCTTATACAGAGCGAATTTCGTTTTCGTTTGCAGGCTACGGGACTTCAGCTGGCTACGTAATCCGTAAAAGGCCCTGTTTGCAGCTGCAATACGTCTCTTCACCTCGCGGGTAACATCATTATCGCATGTCACTAGTGTTCCAAGATACACAAATTCTTCCACTACCTCAAATTGTTCACCATCTAACAACACTACACTACCAACACCACTATTGCTCCCACGCTGTCTACCGGCTACCACGTACTTCGTTTTGGTAGAACTTATCGTGAGCCCAATCCTCGCCGTCTCCCTCTTAAAAGGCACAAACGCCTCTTCCACTGCTCTACGGTCAATTCCGATGATATCGATGTCGTCCGCAAAGGCAAGGAGCATGTACGATCGTGTGATGATGGTACCGTTCCTCTGCACACCAGCTCTCCTAATCGCTCCTTCAAGAGCAATGTTGAACAGTAAGTTTGAAAGTGCATCACCCTGCTTCAATCCATCTAAGGTCACGAACGAGGTCGAAATCTCATCTGCAACCCTTACACTTGATTTCGATCCATCTAGCGTTGCGCGAATCAGTCTAATTAGTTTCGCCGGAAAACCATGTTCTAGCATAATCTGCCAAAGCTCATTTCTCTTCACTGAATCGTATGCTGCTTTGAAATCAATAAACAGATAGTGAGTCTGCAAGTTGTACTCCCGGAATTTATCAAGGATTTGACGCAGGGTAAACATTTGATCCGTCGTTGATCGGCCCTCACGAAAACCAGCCTGGTATTCACCGACGAAGGACTCCTCAAGCGGTCTCAATCTGTTAAACAGAACGCGTGACAGTATTTTGTACGCCGAATTCAGAAGAGTTATTCCTCGATAATTGGCGCACTCGAGTCTGTGCCCTTTTTTGAATAATGGGCAAATGAGGCCATCCAACCAGCTAGCAGGCAGTTCTTCGTCCTCCCATATCTTCGTTAGAATACGGTGGATTGCTTGATGCAGCTGCTCACTTCCGTGTTTGAAAAGTTCGGCCGGGAGCTCGTCCTTCCCAGCAGCCTTATTGTTTTTCAGCTCACGTATTGCCTTTTTAACCTCGTCTAGCGTTGGAGGCTCCACAGCTTGATCGTCGTCTGCGATGTTTACTCTGTTCCTCGATACTCCCTCACTCTCTCCATTCAACAATGTCTCAAAATGTTCTTTCCACCTGGCAGCCACCATTGTTTTATCTGTCAGCAAATTCCCCTCAAGGTCATTGCACATGGCGGGAGATGGCGCTGTTTTACTCCGCACACCATTGACAGTCGCGTAGAACCTTCCTTAGCATATACGAAAAAAGCTTCGGAATGCTTGCGTTCTTGAAATGGGCTTTAGGAGTTGTGATAGAGCTGTCACCTTCTAACTCCCGGATTTAAGCTTCTTGAAATTATTTATATAAAAGATGGTTCCAGGAGGATTTTATCCATAATGCCACTGCCAGTCAGTGGACAAATTCATGAAAGAAGGATACATATGTGGTAATATAGTAACAGGTTTCCTAATGACTACTGACTACTGATATTAGGCAGAATATAATGTTTCAACAAACACGTGTCGGTCGAATTAGGATTTATCCCAGGCTACTATTGTAGAAAAACGTAATTGATAGATATTGGGCGGACCGC